TTAGTGATAAACTGATATACCAACCTCTTAACTGACTTGGTACAGGAGAAGCAAAAATATCATTTGATGGTGCACTATGGCCGGAGTATGGATTGTTGAGGTCTATAATCATCATAAGTAAGCGTAGCAGGACTTCTCTAAATCCTGGTAAATTAGCAAATAAGCAAAAATTCGCAGATAATGCACGTTCTGCAGCATCTGAACTAAACGGATGACAACTCTCAGTCCTCAAGCTGAATAGTAGTGAGATCAAAGCATGATCGCATGTTAGCTCCTCACCCCGCGAAGTTCGCTAACAATAAATCACACGACATTTTCTTCAAATCATGATAAAATGCTTCATTGATAGCCAGTTGTGATCATGCAGGGAATTCCTCAAAAACGAATTCGAATTAAACCTCATGTGCACCTTTCTTTTCCTTTAACAGCTCTGCAATAAGAAGCACATACTGGCAAAGTTTGCTGTGATTTTTGGAGGATATTATTTTAAAAAATCATGGCGACATCTCTTTCTTAAAGAATTGTGATGAACAACAGAATAACGTGGTAACAATTACGCTTCTCCGCTACAGATAATTACAATTTAAGACCCTTACATGAAGGAGCTCCAGGAGCCACTGACCGCCGTTTTTGACCGAAGAGAAACGATGGTGCTTTTGCAGCATCGCCCTGGTTATCAGCAACAAATCTAAATTGAAATGTACAAAACTGAGTCGGCGGTAGAAGAAAGTTCGAAGTAATACTTGTTAGTCGACATTGATGAGCTGTTGTCCAAAGGAGCCGTGTCCATTGAAGGTCCAAATCCTGTTGAACGACTAAGCAGCGGTGAAGAATACATATGGTAAACTGTTATGATCTCCACTAAAGATAGCGTTATTTGAGATACACAAAAGAACATGTGGAATAAAAAACAGTGAAAAGTAGAAAAAAACTTTAAAGTAGGAGAGATGAAAGTATAGAATAGAACAAAAGAACTACACTAAAGTTAACATAGCGTATCGCAAAAACCTGATCTTTTTATCTCCTTGGTGCTAAATCTTGCGGATCTCAATATCAAAAGCTCTCTAACTATCGAGCTATACAAAATCAACCCTAATAATTGGACGCCAGCTTGTTTTCAATCAACTAGGCATTTCTAGATGTCAAACTGCATAGGAACATGTACAGAAATTCAGCTTAGATAATGCGCAGGAGGATTCTCACCAGAAACGAGTACGGAGAAACTTAGGTACAAAAATATAATTCCATGAAAATGCGAACAAATAGCTGTCAAAACTGAAAACTTGTACTATCTGAAAAAGGAACTATTGGGAATATTGACTCAATAAATGTTTTTGAAATTTCTCGCGCACGACGGCCAATGTCTTAACTCGAGACAACTCGTCTGAGCTTCGGAGATGCTCACTCAGGGAGGGGGAGGGGGGTTAATAATTCAAGATCGCGCGCGCGCAATACGCGGTTAGCGGCGGTCGGACAGCTCGGACAGCTCGGACAGCTCGGACAGCAGAGCACACATCGTGCCAACTCATGCAAGGTACCTTAGTGGATTAAAAAGCTTTGACTGAGATCAATTCGAAAGATTTAAGCGAAGAAATGAAGCGTACTACGACGCTTGCTGTCTATAAATCTCAAGAATCAAAGTAAATCACAGAATCGTTAGTATTCATAGCCAATTGAACGATAGATATATGATTTGGGAACTCTCATTTGTGGAAAATTTGAATTTGGTTTGATTCTATAGACAAAAAGCTGTGTAACCGAACAGAAAAAGCCGAGGAAAACACGACGACGGTGTTGCAAGCAGGTCAATTACTTTCCTTCAAATAATTTAATTGGCAATGAACAACAAAAGTGCGACATAATTTTGTACGTTCTGACAACGAAACAAAGATAGATTGCATAATCTTATGATCTAAGGCCCTAAAGGAAAACGCAAGTAGGGAATTGTTATAACATAGCTTTATGACACTGCTTCCTTAAGGGAACTCGATCTCTGGTTGAACCCCGGATCACTGCGCAAGGTCTGCAATGTTGGGACGACTTCGCACTCACGCCCAGCAATGGTAACAGCGCGG